TCTGTATTTGTCTTTCACTCTTTCACTGCCCATAAAAGTGATTGCATTTCCAAACATATAACACACTATTTTGTGATATTTATTTAATCTCAAAGTTTTGCACAAATTTTAAATAAAAGTTAATTGCATTTAACTATTGACTGAATGAAAGGCAATGCAAATGTCATTTCAATTGAAAAATACATTTAAGTTATTGTTCAAAATTTTTAATGATTTTCATTGAATAGAAGGCGATATTTAATACAGAATTTGAATACAGAATAATACATACATTTATTACGTGAAAAATAAATGTAATATTTTAATTACAAATGATTATAATGTGTGACAGCAATGATTTAAATACTAAAAAGTTATAAAAATTTTAATAATTAGTCAATAAAAAAAAGATTGTGTTTAAAGTACAGTAATTTAGAAATATATCGCCGATTATCTCATTCTTAATATCCTTAATCGGAGAGCTGTTCTTCGATGGCCTGATTGGCCAATTGGTCGGCCCTCTCGTTGCCGTCAATACCTGAATGTGCGGCCACTTTAGTCCACTTAATATCCATCTGATAACGTTCCCACACATCCGCCAGTTTCTCCAAGTCGTGTTTGTTCTTCACATGGCGGCCACGCTTTATCTTCCAGCCGTTATGGCGCCACTTATAGATCCATTCGGTCATCGCTTTGACCAAGAAGTCACTGTCAGTGTTGATCTCCACCTGATATTCATTCAATTCTATGGCCACTTCGAGCGCCCGAATGGCCGCATGAATCTCCGCCCGAATGCTTGTCTGTCGTCCGGGCAATGGTTCGTAAATATCGTATTCGGAATAATCGGGAAAATGGACACCAATGCCGGCGATGGCTGAACGGCGTCCGTTTCCACGACACGCGCCGTCCGTATAGATCTGGAACCAGTTCTCAGACGAATAATCTGATTCAGAATCAGATTCAGTGTCTATTGGTTTCCAATAGTCGGGATCATAGATGGCTCGGCCGGTGACCGGACATCGGGGGCCGCCGTTCACGTAATCCCACGCCTCAGACAGTGTGTCGAAACTCTTGCATTGGTTGCCTGAATAGCCAGTGGTCTGTCCCCAGTATTCTTCCCACGTGTAGTAAACTCCGGGTTGTCGTCCAATCCTTACGGCATAATATTTATCCATTTTTTGGACACTTGTTTTTTGGTCACCAAATAGTGGTTAAGCTATGAATGCAAACGCAAACCAAACGTTATGTTTTGCACACGTTTTTGTGTCGCAAACCGTTGTGTTTGACTCACAGTTGAAACTAAAATTGCAATGTTTTGTAATACGAGACTAATATAACGGTACAAAAGGGTTGAATTATTTGTTTACAATTAACTTTTTATTAACGTTTACCGATAAATAACCATGTTTGAATTTTATTCATTTTCTTTAATTTAATAGAAAATAATTTTGAATTAACCATAAATGAGACAAAATAACGGTTTAAATATAAAATATATTTTATAGACATCACAATTATAATAGCATTTTAATTAAATTGAGATTTGACTGAATGAAAGGCAATGCAAATGTCATTTCAATTGAAAAATACATTTAAGTTATTGTTTAAAAAGTTTTAATGATTTTCATTGAATAGAAGGCGATATTTAATACAGAATTTCATAGAATTTGAATACAAAATAATTTATACATTTATTACGAAAAAATAAATACAATATTTAATTGTATTGTAATAATATTATAAATAATAAATGTGTTAATAATTTATAACAGAAATTGAATCAAATAGTAAAACGTTATAATAATTTCAATAATTAGTCGATAAAAAGATTGTGTTTAAAGTAATTTCGATATATATCGCCGATCACATGATCCCTAATATCTTCTGAGCTGAGCATCGATAGCCCAATGAGCCAATCGGTTGGCCCTCTCGTTGCCGGCGATACGTGAATGTGCGGCCACTTTAGTCCATACAATGTTGGCGTATTGGCTACACTCGAGAAGGTCTAAAAAGTCCTCCTTATTCTTGACGGGTCGGGGATCCCATCCAAAACACTTCCACCCGTTTTGCTGCCATTTGCCGATCCATTTGGTCATCGAATTCACTAAGAACTCGCTGTCTGTATTGATCTCCAGAAGACATTCACCCATTTGGTCAGCCATTTCGATGGCCAAAGTGGCCGCGTATATGTCGGCACAAATGTTGGTCTGTCGTCCGGACAATGGTTTGCCGATATCGTATTCGGGATGAGTGGGGAAATGGATACCAATACCGGCGATGGCTGAAGCGGTTCCGTTGCCACGACACGCGCCATCCGTATAGATCTGGAACCGTTCCGGACATGTCTCATACGAATAGCCATAACCCATGTCCGGCACTGGTCTCCAATAGTTGGGATCATAGATGGCTTCGCCAGTAGCCGGATCTCGGGGGCCGCCGTTCACGTAATCCCACGCCTCAGACAATGTTCGGAAACTCTTGCATTGGTTGCGTGAAAAGCCAATGGTCTGTCTCTTACAGTCATCCCACGTGTAGTAAACTCCGGGTTTATATCCAATCCTTACGGCATAATATTTAACCATCTTTTCGGTACTTTTTTGGTCACCAAATAGTGGTTAAGCTTTGAATGCAAACCAAATCAAACGTTATGTTTTTTACACGCTTTTGTGCGCAAACGTTGTGTTTGACTCGCATTTGAAACTAAAATATTGCACTCAAAAAGGGCCACAAGAATTTCATGTGTATAGCAATGGATAGACTTATACAGTATTAAACTTGTACTTTGAACCTTGTCAAAATTAGTACAGTAGCAATAAATGACCATAAACCCATAAATCCTTTAGCTGCACATGTTTTTCATATGAACACTGGAACCTAATACTGAAATCAATGATCTGGGCCAACATTTATTTTAAACTAGCTATATTTTAAGACTAATAATTTTGAATTAATTATAAATGAGAGAAAATACAATTTATGTTTTATAGACTTCACAATTATAACAGCATTTTAATTAAGCTAATCGTCTCTTTTGTAGCACTTTTACAGAACCTATTATTTATTGGTATATCAAATGCAATATGTTTTACCCACTAATGTGTATGAATTCAAAACATTAGGTTAATATTTGTTACATTATACATATTTGTATTACAAATACGTAATATGAATAGTACTTTAACCAAGAATAATAATTTCTTTTTGAATATATTATGGAGAGAATGTATTGGTTATGACTAAATCAAATGTGTTAATGGCTTTTATCGCATTACACTAGGCACATTTATGTGTTACTACAGTATATTATCATCAAGTCTATCATAGCAATGCAAATGTCATTTCAATTGAAAAATACATTTAAATTATTGTTTAAAAAGTTTTAATAAAATTCATTGAATAGAAGGCGATATTTAATACAGAATAATTTATAGTATTATTTAATTCAATATTTAATTGTATAGCAGATTATAAATGAGTTAATAATTTATGACAGAAATTGATTTAATTACTAAAACGTTATATTAATTTCAATAATTAGTCGATAAAAAGATTGTGTTTAAAGTAATTTAGATATATATCGCCGATTATCTGATCCTTAAGATTTGTTAAGCTGATCATCGATGGCCTGATTGGCCAATTTGTCGGCCCTCTCGTTGCCGACAACACCTGAATGTGCGGCCACTTTAGTCCACTTAACACTCTTCACGAGAGCGCACGCCTTCTCCAGTTCTATGAAGTCGTCTTTATTGATCACATCCTCGCCGTTGGTGTCCTTCCAGCCGTTGTGGCGC